CATGTACAAAGCCTAAACCAAATGGTCACCAAATAATCATATTCAAAAGTCAAACAAGTCCAGTACTACCCTACAAGGTAAGATCTTAGAGGTAAAGAAACCATATTAACCAGGAAATGTTACAGAAAAAATTTGTATTTTTTTAATACCAAAAGGTTCAGTTAACAGTAAAAACTGAGGAGGCATACAATGGAATGGAATGGAGAACAACTGATCATGAGAAATTTTATAAGTAAGTCCCTTAAAATGTAAATTATAGAATATAAAGGGCCTTACAAAGAACTCAAAGAAGATGTTGTTGTCGACATACTGGTACTCAAAGAAGACATAACCCGACTTCTTAAGGTGCACAGCATAGATCAAAGACACGGTGCAGTCATCACGATTTGACTCTATGTAATTTCCATGAGGGACCCAAGAAGAGCTGTGGAAACAAACCCAAGAGACATTTTATATGAGCATTCAGAAATCTCTCCTGTTCACAAGTTATATAACTCAGATTCAAAAGTACTTCCATCAGCAAAGGATAGCAGAGAAGTTTAAAGCTTTTCTAGAACTCAATAGCCAATACCATTACTGGGAAAAGGTTCATTTCTTATGGGGACATGATTTCCTAAATCTTGGTAAGCTTATGTAATCAATTTGCTATGAAGCTGCTATTTTTCACATAAAAATTTGATCACTAAGTTAGTGATTAGTAGACAACCACTACTAATTCCAGGAGTCTTAGGTGGAATGATTCTCTCTAACAATGTCTAAAGTTTTAATTATTAACACATGCACCTGGCAGGGGGATGATGAGGTTCCTTGATATAAGAGAAGAAATATTCCTAGAAAAAGCCATCAAAGTGAACCTAAATAAAATATAGCTCACAGTTCATAGCATATAGTACAAGTAAAAGTTTGGTTCTAATTTTTATCTAAAAACAAAATGAAAAATTGAGAAAACACACTGGTGAACAAAATTTTGGTTATAAATCTAACCATACACTAATTCTTAGATTAACCAATAATGAGTTACATGTGAGGTATTCAGTAAAAAAAATTCTAACCAAATTGTATGATAGCACAACTTAAATTCCTTCTCTTCAGAGTCAACTTTTTATCTGGATAATAAGAGTAAGATTTTTGACAAATTCTTTTTTTTCTCACAGAAAAAGAATCTGAGTGAAAGAATGAGAGTTCCACATCATAACATCACTAGTTGGGGTACTGGATTTGCCTTTTCTTTTTAATAATATATTAACAAAACAAAATACATGAGCCCTTTTCAGTCAGTGCAGGACTGAGATTCATGACAGGAGGAAAATGCATGAGGTAAAGCCCTAACTGGCCTTAACTTCATTTTTCGGGATACTTGCCAGACCTCAGAACTGGAAGAGAGCAAGCACCCAAGCATAGCACATTGGTGTCACTTTGCTAAGGAACAGAGATGAGTACTGGGCCAGCTGGAACACATGGAATTTACAAGCCTGAGAAACAGAGAAAACAGTGGCCCTAGAGGTCCCTATGGAGTTTTTCTGTAGGTATCAGGCTTGAGGTTGAAGTGTATAGGCCTAGCAGAGCACAGACATTGCAAAGCTGAGACATAATCACAGAGATAACTTAAATAGGAGTCCTGGAACTCCTGCTAGCCAGAAAGGAGAAAACTTGATAACAATCCTGGAAATTCATCTGAGATTCTGGAATTGCCAAACTTAGGAAAAATGGACATCTCCTAGAGCAGGTAACAGCAAGCTTTTTCACAAAGGGCCAGAGAATACATATTTCTGGCTTTGGAACAATATGGTCTCTCCACCACTGTAGCTTAAAAGGAGCCACAACAATGTTTAAATAAATGAGTACAGCTATCTTCCAATATAACTTTATTTACAAAAACAGGAGGAGACACTCTTGGGGGGATTAAAGATGGTGGCATGAGAGGTGAGACAGAAACTTCCTCCCAAAACCATATATAATATTAAAATATACTAAATATATCTAATTCTGAAAGAGCAACAAGAAAGAAGGCTGTGGCAGACTGCCTACACCTGGGGAAAACAGCAGACCTTAATGAAAAGACTAAAGTACCAAAGCCATGATCTGGAGGGACCCAAGCCCTTTCCTATTCCCAGCTTACCAGAAGGAGGAAGAGAAACGGAGCAAGGAGGCGGTGGAGGCCTAGGCCTGCTGAACACCCAGCATGGAGATCTGCTGTGGGAGCACGAACCTACATTACATGGTGCTTTTGAGATTAGTGGGGTTGGAAAGCTAAAACAGGGGGAATACTTGGAGAGACTGAGATTCCAGCCACTTGTGGAAAACACATATCCACAACTGGCTGCTCTGGGACAAAAGAAAGGCAAGCAGTCTGAGAGACTTTCTGACAAGGAAAGAGCTGTGAAAGGGGAAAGGATTGCACAGATCTTGCTGCTCAGGAGAAAGGACAGGTGGACAAAATTGTGCAGGTGCCCTCTGCCTAACAGGTTGAGAACTTTCAGGAGCTTCAGGCACTCCATCCCCCTGGCTGGCTATGCAGCTACAAGCTTCCTACCATAATACGCAGCCTGCTGCACCTTCCTCCCGGCTAGAACCAGCTTACACACTGGCTACCCCTGCCATTACGCTGGCCAGCCAGAGGGCAGCTCCGCCTATGGCATCTACAAATGCAAAGCATAGAGGGTTCTCCCTGTGCCCTGGCAGGGGAAACAGGCACTGCAGCCAGGAAACAGGAAAGAACTCTTTCCTCCCCACAGCCACCAGCGACATTCGCATACAACTCACACCATCGCTTCAGGGGCTGAGCAGCTCCAGAGAGTAAAGCTTCTGGGCACTAGAGGGTGCCACCTACAAATATGAAACATCAAAGGAACCTGGTTCAAATCAAAATCCCACAACACCAAAAAGAGGGCCAGGTGAAAATGAACTCACCTATCTTCCTGGAAGAGATTTCAAAACAAAATCATAAAAATGTTCATGGAGGTACAGAAAACTATTCAAGAACTCAGGGAAGAATTCAAGAGGGAGATTCAATCATTAAGAAATACTGTATCTGAAGTGAAACATACAATGGAGGGATTTAAAAGCAGATTACATGAAATAGAGGACACGGTAAATGGAATAGAAATTAAAGAAGATGAATACAAAGAAGTTGAGGCACAGAGAGAAAAAAGGATCTCTAGGAATAAAAGAATATTGAGAGAACTGTGTGAACAACCCAAATGGGACAATATTCACATTATAAGGGTACCAGAAGAAGAAGACACAGTGAAAAGGGATAGAAAGTGTCTTTGAGGAGGTAATTGCTGAAAACTTACCCAATCTGGGGGAGGAGATAGTCTCCCAGGCCATGAAGGTGCAAAGATCTTCCAACACAAGGGACCCAAGGAAGACAACACCAAGACATATAATAATTAAAATGGCAGAGCTCAAGGATAAGGATGGAATATTAAAAGCAGCCAGAGAGAGAAAAAAGATCACATACAAAAGAAAACCCATCAAATTATCAACAGACTTCTCAACAAAAACCTTACAGGCCAGAAGGGAGTTGCATGATATATTTAATGCAATGAAGCAGAAGGGCAGCAAACTAAGAATACTCTCCCTGGAAAGATTATCATTTAAATTTGAAGGAGGGATTAAACAGTTTTCAGATAAGCAAAAGCTGACAGAACTTACCTCCAACAAACTGTCTCTGCAGTGTATTTTGGAGGCAACTGCTATAGATGGAAGTGTTCCTAAGGCTAAGTAGCTGTCACCAGAGGTAATAAAACCACAGTAAAGAAAGTAGAACAATTAATTACTAAGCAAATGCAAAATCAAATCAACTTCCCCAAAGTCAGTCAAGGAATACACAAAGAATACAGAATATGATACCTAATATATAAAGAATGGAGGAGGAAGAAAAAGGAGGAAAAAAAAGAACTTTTAGATTGTGTTTGTAATAGCATATTAAGTAAGTTAAGTTAGACTCTTAGACAGTAAGGAAGTTATCCCTGAACCTTTGGTAACCATGAATCTAAAGCCTGCAATGACAATACATACATACCTATCGATAATCACCCTAAATGTAAATGGTCTGAATGCACCAATCAAAAGACACAGAGTCACTGAATGGATAAAAAAAATAAGATCCATCTATATGCTGCCTATAAGAGACTCACTTCAAAACCAAAAATATACACAGACTAAAATTGAAGGGATGGAAAAAAGATATTTCATGCAACTAATAGGAAGAAAAAAAGCAGGAGTTGCAGTACTTGTATCAGACAAACTAGACTTCAAAACAAAGTAAGTCATAAGAGACAAAGAAGGACATTACATAATGATAAAGGGGTCCATCTAACAAGAGGATATCACCATTATAAATATCTATGCGCCCAACACAGGAGCACCTACATATGTGAAACAAATACTAACAGAATTAAAAGGGGAAATAGAATGCAATGCATTCATTTTAGGAGACTTCAACACACCACTCACTCCAAAGGACAGAAAATAAGTAAGGACACAGAGGCACTGAACAACACATTAGAACAGATGGACCTAACAGGCATCTACAGAACACTCCACACAAAAACAGCAGGATACACATTCTTCTCAAAGTACACGTGGAACATTTTCAAGTATAGATGATATACTAGGCCACAAAAAGAGCCTCAGTAAATACAAAAATATTGAGATTGTACAAACCAGCTTCTCAGATCACAAAGGTATGAAACTAGAAATAAGCTATGCAAAGAAAACAAAAAATACCACAAACATGTGGAGGCTTAACAGCATGCTCCTAAATAATCAATGGCTCAATGACCAAATAAAAACAGAGATCAAGCAATATAAGGAAATAAATTACAAAAATAACTCAACACCGCAAAATCTGTGGGATGCAGCAAAGGCCATGCTAAGAGGGAAGTATACTGCAATACAGGCCTACCTCAGGAAAGAAGAACAATCCCATATGAACAGTCTAAACTCACAATTACTGAAACTAGTAAAGAAGAACAAATGAGGCCAAAAGTCAGTAGGAGGTTCTACACACATAAACAGAATCAGAAATGAGAAAGGAAAAATCACTATAGACACCATAGAAATACAAAGAATTATTTAAAAATACTATGAAAAATTTTATGCTAACAAACGGGATAACCTAGAACAAATGGACAACTTTCTAGAAAAATCCAACCTTCCAAGACTGTCCCAGGAAGAAACAGAAAATCTGAACAGACCCATAACCAGCAACGAAATTGAATCAGTAATCAAAGACCTACCTAAGAACAAAACCGCCAGACCAGATAGCTACACCGCTGAATTTTATCAGACATTTAGTGAAGACCTAATACCCGTCCTCCTTTAAATTTTCCAAAAAGCAGGAGAGAAGGGAATACTTCCAAACTCATTCTGAGACCAGCATCACTCTAATACCAAAACCAGACAAGAAGATATCAG